GTATTCTGTTAGCGGCGACCTAGTTTGAAAGAAACGAGATGAGTCCAGATCTGTACAGGGGGCAAGCAGAAGAACTTGGGTATAGGAGCCATTGCAAAAATCAGAGCCAGAGGGCCTTTGATGGATGGGGATGGTTGAATTAAATGTTGGGTGTTTAAGAAAATGTGGGCAACGCTGACACACAGAGGGGGCATAGAATAGGATGTGAGTGTAAATGGTTATGTCTAGAGGTGGGACTCATTTCAGACATTTGTGGGAATGGTAGGCTTATGGGAAAGAAATGCTGAAAACCTGCAAGGCATTCAGGAGAACGGGAAGAGAATAAAAGCCACAGGCTTTCGAGTCAGGGAGAAGAGGATCCCGGGGAGCTGCCTAGGACTAGTGAATGCGTTGACCCTGTGTTAAGAAAATTGGAGCCTTACGCCAGAAATCTCTAGTGTCAGAAAGCCTACACAATTGGAAGTAATGAAGGGAGTTCTGAAAGAACACAGGCCATTTCTAGAGTTCACTGGTTTCTACCCAGCCACAGTGTTCTTGCCAGCATGTGAGAGGTTCTACAATTTACCCTAAAAGCTTTGGGTATAATTTGTTCAACTTCTTATCCAACCGTTCCAAAAGTTATCTGCTAAAATACTCCTTTCAACAAGTTGATTGTACTTCAGAAATCATTAGTGCCTCCTGAGTTTATTTATTTTTTTTTGAATGAGAGCAAATCAACATGCTGCTAAATAAATACATAAATCATATTGTCTGCTGACCTCATTTGCTGCCCTTTGGATTATTATCATTTTAATAGTTCCCAATTTGCACGTTCTTTTGTTAGATGTTGTCTTTGGCTAACATGCAGCTTTAGAACAAAGGATGGAGCTGAGAATATCTGAATTAATTATATAGATACTTCAGTATCAACTTCTGTAGAAGTTAGCATGTTTTTAATCTCACAATAGATATTTCTATGACTATTGTGGATGCATAGTGGTTGACAGGAAAAGAGAATAATGGACCAAGAAAAATAGAGTTGAATACTGGAAATCAAATCTCTGCCATTCTTAACACAGGCTGTTTCCCTTGGCTGCTTAAGACATGTAGCTTTTTCACCTTCATTACAATTTAGATTATGAATAGTAGAAGGAATGGGTGGGGGTGAAGAGTTTTAATCAATTCTCATACTTTTTTGCTTTCCTGCAAAGGGGAAGGACCAGATGTTTAGCATTGTAAGTGAAAATCTGAGGCAGTTTAACAAGAGCCTTCACAGTGATCTTTTTAGAGCTATCTTTGAGCTGAGGGTGGGCATTTAACTGATCTGACTGATGTAATCAGGGCATGAGGATTGCGATGTGACTCCAGCAAATTATCTGCATTTATAGTGGGTTAAGTGATGGTGCAGGATCCTTGTGCGTAAGAAAATCATTCGGGAAACAGTCCTCATTTCAGAGATGAGCACCGTAGAGCGACAGCCCACAGATTATATGCTTCGATATTCTCTCTGCTAAAAAGCTTCCAGGCAATGTGAAGTTTATGATGTGTTTTTCTAAGCTTAGGTTTCTTTTGTTATTAAAACTCCATGGGAAGAGGTGGGTCATTTAATGTTCTGATAATGAGTTATCAATTTTCAAGTCGACAATGGGATGAGTAGCAGAGATTGAAAGTTACCCGTTAAGTCATTTAGTGAATGTTTATGAGAGATAAAAATTGTATTTTCAGTAGGGAACTGTTGCAAAGTGCTGTAGATCTAATTAGAAGTCTGTGCTTTGTGGAATCTGAGAGTCCAAAGTTTCCAGGTCACTCGCGGCACACTCAGCCAAGTTTGACCAAGTTTGAGCCCATTTGAGTCCCCATCCCTGGGAAGGGCTTTTGTTGCCCTCTCCCTGGGCTTCCTCTGCCTTCTCCTGCTCCTTTAGCAAACAGCAGGGCCTCCTCAGTGATTGCTGAGCAGCACAAATAATTCCAAATCACTAGAAACTTCCAAGCCTGATTCTAACCAGTAATTCCAGTCAATTTCCTACCAAATCTTTTATTCATGTATTCAGTACCTGTTTCAACGGGCCAGTTTAGCTTTTATCTCTCTTTGACACGGTATTTATGAAGACTGGCTAGAGCGATAGCACAGCGGTAGGGCGTTTGCCTTGCACACAGCCAACATGGCTGACCCGAGTTCGATTCCTCTGCCCCTCTCGGAGAGCCCGGCACGCTACTGAGAGTATCTCGCCCGCACGGCAGGGCCTGGCAAGCTCCCCGTGACGTATTCGATATGCCAGACACAGTAACAACAAAGTCTCCAATGGAGACGTTACTGGGCCCTCTCGAGCAAATCGATGATCAACGGGAGGGCCTTTACTTTACTCTCTTTGACACGGTATTTATGAAGACTTTGTCTCAATTACGTTTTTCCTAAAAATCTTTTGGGGGACACTAATTTACATGACAATGAAGAAGAGGATAAAACAGTCTCAAATAAGTGCATGAATATATCTATAGACTGAAGATCAAGGGATGCAAGGACTTAATACCTCCCCTACCTTCCACCCGGGATCCACCCTTGGAGGAGAGCCTGACCCTGCACCCACGCCTGCTAGAATGACTCTGGTCCTTTCAAATCATCTCTTCACCTCAGCTAGGCCCTAGGAGTTCCTTAGGAAGCATGGCACCCACAGCCACTCCACCAACTGTCAATCATTTGGGCGTTGTATTGATGCATGCTCAGGTGAGAACAATGAATCAAATTCTTTATTTTAAGGGGGGAAAATGATGAGCTGGTTACTGAAGAATCTCTGAGCATTTAATATAACACCAAGTAAGTTATTCTGTAAAGAGAAAACCCTCTGTTTCTTCTTCCTGTGTCATCAAGGCACCCTTTTTGCTGTCTTTCTGCGCCCTTGCAAGGAGAGCGTTGTTGAGCAGGGATCCATCTTGGTGATGGCAGGAATCTGTCTCTCTGTCCTGCTTTGCTTCTATTTATTGTTAGTGGCTCAGAGTCCACCACCTTGGAGCAGTGTTTGTTAAATGACTATTAGGCTGGGTCCATGGTTGGGAAGTCATTACCTGGATGCTTTTTTCTTCTTTTTCTTCTGCCTTTTCTTGTGCAAATTTTCTACAGTCTTCTGGCCTACTTTTAATATTCCATAGATGTGGAGGGCCCGTCCCAGGCACTGGTGAGGTCCAGAATGATGAATGAGAAAGCATGAAGTCACTGGAATAGTTCCTTGTCACTCTTGGCTAGTTTACTCATTCATCTATGAAGACAATTGCTTCTTTTATAACTTCTAGATTACTATTGAATTTTGTTTCTGAAAATAACTGTTTTAAATATTACTCTGTAATGTAGCTGGTAGTTTTAGAAGCAAAGATCAAGCAGTTAAAACCAGAAGAAACTAAACTGATCAAAAGTTGCTATAATATGGACCATTAATCCCTATGAGAGGAGTAGTCCACTGAAGTGTATTAAATCATAGAAAAAATGGGTCTAATAAATATTACATTAGATACTGTCAAAGAAAAATAGCTGATGCCAAATTGAAGAAAAAGTTTGAAGAGATAATAAAAAATAGAATTATTAACTAATTTCATTGTTGGAGTTGATATAAATACTTATTACACTATGTGACCTGGCGCCCAGTACAAGTAAAATCTTTTTTAGTCTTGAAATGTCAGATTACTTTTATGCATTAGTATGGTTAAAACATTTGACTTAATCAGCATCAAATACTCCATAATGAGTATAAACCATTCAGGAAGAACACATGAATCCTAATAGATCCCAATTTGAAATTGGAAGAACTATTAAAGTAATTTTGTCCAAATTTTCTATCTTCTAGAAAGAAAATTGAGGTTGAGAGGTCAAGGGACAAATTCAGAGTCGCAATTGAGGGACATAACTTGTCTCTGATGGTCCCACATCCACTGAACATTAGTAAATTATCTGCCTGGTACTGAGCAATTTTGCTGGATTTTGGGGATGTGTACGTTACCTCAGTGAGGTCTGTGTTTTTCCATACATACTTTCAAGACCCAAACCTCCTGGCCCCCCAGTGCAGAATTGATTGGAAAATACCCACCTTACTGTCAGGCAGCTGGAGTGATAGCACAGCGGTAGGGCGTTTGCCTTGTGCATGGCCAACCCAGCTGAGCCGGGTTCGAATTCTCTGCCTCTCTCTCCGAGAGCCTGGCAAGCTGCCGAGAGTATCTCGCCTGCATGGCAAAGTCTAGCAAGCTACCCGTGACATATTCAGTATGCCAAACACAGTAACAAGTCTCACAATGGAGATATTACTGGGCCTGCTTGAGCAAATCGATGAACAACGGGAGGATAGTGGACAGTGGATTGTCAGGCAGCATATGTTCAAATGCAGGATGGTAGGACTGAAATCTAAATTTAAGCTTGATTGGCTCAAAAAGTGACTTATGTCTGTTTTGTCTGCTATTTGTGACTAATCCTTCAGTAAGAAAAGACGTACAATTTTATTAACTAAAATGGTTCTTGTTCTAGACACACTTTTCAGACCATTTATTTCCTTACAAGAACCATGTGAGGGACCTGAGGCCCAAGTCTTAAGAATGTTGGAGTCTTCCCGTGGGGGCTAATTTGATTTACATCTTGATGAGCCTATGGCCACGGTATGTGTCAGTACCTGTCTGACATTGAAGAGAAGGTGTTTATCAAGATGAGATGGATGTTTATTTTGTATTTTATTGCTTTTGGTTGAAGTAGTATTGGTTTACGATTTTCTCTAGGTTTGATGCACAGTGAGCTATCAATCGTCAGCCGTAAGTACCTTATTTGTGGCCTCCTACCATTTGGCTTCCATGCCCTTTCCCTTCCAGAAAATGAATGGCCCCACCCCCTTTCAAAGTGTGGCTGCAAATCCACAGCTGGAGGTTTTAGTCTTCTGAGAAAAGACTGTGGCTTTTAAAATTTCTTCTTTATAAAACTCTTCTTTTAAAATTTCTTCTTTATAAAATCTCAAGGCCGACCTAGGCTGCCACAACGAAGGAAGACAAAAATGATCGTCTGTACTTTCAATGCACGTACGCTAGCATCAGATGCATCCATCGAGGACCTGATGGGACAAGCGCGAATGATCACGTACGACATCATTGGTCTGACCGAGACAAGAAGGCACGAATCTCACCATGCCGTTTTCGACACTGGAGAAGAATTGTTCTTTGGAACATGCGATAAAAGAGGTGTTGGAGGCGTCGGTGTCCTTGTCAACACAAACTTGGCCAAGAGCATTGATTCATTCGAATGCCTAACAACCCGAATCGGATGTTTACATTTGAATAGATGTGACTCACTGCCTGCAGTTTCTATCTTCGTTGTCTACGCACCAACATCTCATTATGATGAAAGAGAAATCGAGAAGTTCTACATGGAGCTAGAGAAGTTCTATAAAGAAGACCACACCTTCTACAAGATCATTGTGGGTGATTTTAATGCCAAGATAGGACCAAGAAGATCAGCTGAAGAACTTCACATCGGGACCCATGGCCTAGAATGGAACGAAGAGGGTGAGAAACTGTCTGAGTTCATCATGTCGACCAAGACCATTCATGGTAACTCACAGTTCCAGAAGGCAGAATCTAAACGATGGACATGGGAGTCTCCTGGTGGACGATTCCACAATGAAATAGACCACATCATATTCAATCGACGGTTTTGCCTGACTGATGTCGCTGTTGTCCCAAAATTTTGAACGGAATCGGACCACCGTCTCCTTCGTGCAAAATTCTACCTCATAGAGCGGGGAGAAAGGGCTGCAAAGTTCAAAAAGAGAACTCCCAGAATGACCACCAACTGGGAACTCTTTGATACTGTTGCGGCAACATGGGAAGATGCTATTGTTGACAACATTGACGAGGAATACGATCGACTGGTTCAGCACCTCCATGAATGTGTGAGGAACGCCAAGAGAGAGATAGCCACAAAAAATTGCCTATCTTCGAAAACTCTTGAGCTAATTCGCCATTGTAGTTTGGCGCATGCCTCAGGCAACCGCAAGCTAACGTCCGAGCTCGCAAAGCAGTGCAGAGATGTGATCAAGGAAGACCTCAAAGAGAGAAGAGCAGAGGTACTGGTAGATGCGGCAGAAGCCGGGAAAAGTATTCGTAAGGCCCGCCTGTCCTTCGCCAACTATAAGACCAAGATGACTGCCCTCCGACGTCCTGATGGATCCATCACATCCTCCAGAACGGCAATGGAGAAGATTATCCATGACTTCTACTCAAATCTCTTCGATAGCCATGTCCACTTGCCGACATACCAAATTCCACAGGATGGATATGTCGTTCCCAACGTTCTCCCTTCCGAAATCCGACACGCCATTTTGTCGGTAAAGAAACAAACAGCACCCGGCCCAGACAAGGTCAGACCTGAACACCTGAAGAACCTGCCGTCAGTACTCATCAATACACTGGCTCGGCTCTTCACTCGCTACCTGTCTGAATGCAAGGTTCCGTCCCAACGGAAAACCAGCAGGACCGTACTACTGTTCAAGAAGGGAGACATCCATGACATTGGCAACTATCGCCCGATCTGCCTATTGTCTGTCATCTACAAGTTGTTCACTCGAGTCATCCTAAATAGGATTGGCAGAACACTAGATGAAGGACAACCATGCGAGCAAGCAGGGTTCCGCAAAGGATTCAGCACCATCGACCATATCCACACAATAACCAAGCTCACTGAGGTTTCTCGGGAGTTCAAGATGCCGCTCTGTTTAACGTTCATTGATTTAAAGAAGGCCTTTGATTCTGTTGAGATGTAAGCGGTCATTGAAGCCCTAGCCAATCAGGGCATTCAAGCCCAATACATCAGGATCCTCCGTGAGCTCTATTGCGGATTCACTACCAGGATCTCACCATTCTACAAAGAAGTGATCGTTGATGTCAAGAGAGGAGTTCGGCAGGGTGATACCATTTCACCGAAACTCTTCAGTGCTACCCTCGAGAACATCATGCAACGACTGGAATGGGAAGGAATGGGAGTGAAGATAGATGGTCGGCAACTACACCACCTCCGCTTTGCTGATGACATTGTTTTAATAACACCAAACATCAGCCAAGCGGCACAAATGCTGGCCGACTTTGACCGTGAGTGTGGAAAGGTAGGACTACAGCTGAATCTTACGAAGACAATGTTTATGAGAAACAGCCTCATTCCTGACGCCCCATTCGCTCTCAACGGAACGACCATCTCTGAATGCAACAGCTATGTGTACCTAGGTCGAGAGGTCAACATGACAAATGACCTGGCACCCGAGCTGCGCAGGAGGAAGAGAGTGGCTTGGAACGCCTTCAAGAACGTCGAAGAAATAGCTAAGAGGACGAAGAACCTCCGGCTCCGGGCACATCTCTTTGATTCCACTGTTCTTCCTGCATTAACATATGCCTCAGAGACCTGGGCCCTACGCAAACAAGATGAGAACGCTATTCAGGTCTCCCAAAGAAGAATAGAAAGAGCTATGCTTGGAATATCACGTTTCACTCAAATGAGAGAAAGAATCCGGAGTTCTGACATCCGTCGACGATCAAGGATCAGGGACGCTGTCTCATTTGCCAAGGTGTCGAAAATCAGATGGGCTGGTCACGTAATGAGATTTAAAGACGACCGTTGGACTAGAGCTGTTACTGACTGGATTCCACGGGATGTCAGAAGACCGCGTGGCCGCCCACCTACCAGATGGTCAGACTTCTTTGTCAAGATCATGAACGATCGGTTTGAGGCCCTTCATGTTCCCGGAGAGAACAGATGCCACTGGGCTACACTAGCACGCGACAGGGACAAATGGAGACGTTACTGGCGCCCGCTCGAGCAAATCGATGACTAACGGGAAGTTAAGTGATTAAGTGATTAAGTGATTTATAAAACTGACTGAGAGTCCGTGATTTCCAATACTGCTCAGAGTTACCCATGCGCAAAATCCCCACACCACACCCATCACCTCTATACTCATCTCCCAACACCAAGGACCCCAATGCCCCTCCCTTTCTTTTTTTTTTTTCTTTTTGGGTCACACCTAGGGATACTCAGGAGTTACTCCTGGGTCTGCACTCAGGAATTACTCCTGGCGGTACTGGGGGGGACCATATGGGACTCCAGGGATTGAATCCAGGTCAGCCACATTTGAGGCAAACGCCCTACCTGCTGTGCTATAGCTCCAGCCCCACCCCTCCATTTCATTGCCTTGCCCCCAACTCAGTTGTGTCATGAATAGGCAAATAAGACTCTAAAACAACAATGAATCTTATGCCAGTGAGAATGGTACCTACTCAAAAGACTGGGAACAGCCCTTGTTGCCAAGGTTGTGGTGAGGAAGAAACCTCCATCCACTGTTGGGGGGACATCAGTAGGCTGCCTCGAGGGAAAACAACATGGAGATCCACTTTAAAACACAGTAACAGAACTACTGGCCAACCCAGAGACATCACTTTTCAGCACCTATCTTCCAGACGCAGAAACATTCATCCGAAAGGGCATATATGCACCGAAGCTCATTGCTGTGCCTAGTACAAGAGCCAAACTAGGGAAGACTGTGGCTTAATGAAAAGAGAACTTTCCCCCAGCTGGCAATGGTAGAAAACCTTCCCTGATGCTCAGCCTGCCATCCTGTGGACTTCAAATGCAAACTACGTGAACTTGACCCTGAATTCCTAGTCTGAAAACCCCACGCATGAATTTTATATTAACCAGTTCCCATGATCTCGGGGGCTGATTCCTTAATATCATCTATCACACTCATCTATCTGATCTGCATGTCTATCATTTATCAATCATTTCTCTATTCTTTTTTTTTTTTTTTTTGCTTTTTGGGTCACACCCGGCGATGCACAGGGGTTATTCCTGGCTCATACACTCAGGAATTACTCCTGGCCGTGCTCGGGGGGGCCATATGGGATGCTGGGAATCGAATCCGGGTTGGCTGCGTGCAAGGCAAACGCCCTACCTGCTGTGCTATCACTTCAGCCCCAATCATTTCTCTATTGATGTTTATCTAACAATCATCCAACGGTGCACACATGCCTGTATCATCTTTCTTATCCATAAGAATAAGATACGTATCCTCCGTTGATGTACTTCTGCATCTCTTTTAACACTGATCTTTCATCCATCTCTATGCCCCTCTATCACCTGTTCCATGTCTCTATCATCATGAACCACCCAACCATCAAGCTACGCCTACCTACCCATTATCTACTTACATACCTAACATATTTATGTCAGTGAATCACCTTCTCAGCTCTCTGTCATCTGCTCTTCTCCTCTGTTTTGGTTCTTTGCCTCTGGAAAATTCTAACACCCTCTTCCTTGCTGTTTTTGATGCATTTTTTTTTTCAGTATTTTTTTTTGTTTAAAGCTGAACTTCTGGGTGAGTGGGACCATCCCTCAGGGCCTGTGACCAGGGTTGGCTGGAAAGAAGCTCCGTGGAGAGCTTACAAAGGGGTCCCAGCAGCATGGCCTTGGGGTCCTGTCAGTCCCAAACAGCTGCAGCTGGTGCAGGCAGCAGCAGCAGCAGAAGAGAAACCACTGCATGGTCCTCATGGGTGCCTTGGGAAGCCACCAGACTGAAAGCAAGAACATTGGTCTCAGCAAAAAGACATTTCCAGGAGAAGCTGCAAGGTATGCCTGGATAATTAAAAAGGAAAACGCAAAGAAAGATATTATGCAAGCTGTTCTTTTCAAAGAACACCAGAAACTATATGTGCTTCTTATCCGTAGTAAAGCATCAACACTTTTTTGAATGGGAAGGGATTTAGATTCTGAACTAAGTGCTTTAACGAGGGACAGATAATAAGTGTGAATTGAAACTAATTGGAGTTTCAGATCACTGAGCTGGTAGAAAAGCCATTTGTGAAGAGGTCTGTATAAGTTAACAGTCGCTTTTAAATGCCTAATTACACATCATTCTGTCCCCTGCGAGTGTAAAAAATGTACTACTGCCCAGTGCACTCTACTTAACCAAGTGATTAAAGTGGTCAATCTGAGCAGAGTTATTTTTTGTATGTGGCAAAAGCTCTTTTTCTCCCAGACGAGATTGATGTAGGTAGTCCTCGGACAATGATGCATTGTGTCCTGTACAGATGGGGACAGGCCTTGCAGTGAACATGAGTATTGGGCCAGTGCGAGAAAAAGCCAAGATTCTTGTTGCACAAAAAGGAAAGATAAAGAGACAAGGTGGGATTATTTTTCTACTCCGAGAATAATCATTAAGAGTGTACCAATTAGAGAATTCTTTATACGATGCTATTTGGGCTAGAAGCATCAAGGATAAAAAGTATTCACCATGAAATGCGTCAGAAGACAGCAAGTGTTTCTACTTCTAAATTTAATTTTCTTAATTTTATTGGTGAAAGTCCCTAGAGTTCCATGAAAAGGGGATAGAGGTCCTAACCTTTCCCCGGTGGGTGCTTGCTCTGAGTCGGGACTGTGGAATTACTTTCTTATTTGGGAACTGATGAGAGCCTGTCTGACAAATGAGTGTTTATTGTTTTTTTGTTTGGGGGCCACACTTGTGCTCATGGATTTCTCCTAACTCTGTGCTTAGAAATCACTCTTGGCAGCACTTGGAGGGCTATGCAGTGCTGGGATTGAACCTGGGCCAGCCACATGTGAGGCATATGCCTTTACCCATGTGCTATCTTTCCGGTCCTGGAAATCCTTAAGGAAATCAGCAAGTCATTCCTTATTCTTCAGGGAATCCTCAAGGCATTCCTTCAGGAAAGTGTGGAGAAGGTTCCGTGGACACGCTGATGTTCTGCTTGTCTGTTCATTCCCGTCTTTCTCACTCTCTTTGTCCTCCTGAGTTTAACGCTTCCAGTACTCAAACAGTTACTCTGTGAATTGACAGAGAGCCGCTAAGATCAAAGCAAAGTTTCTCCAGTTCAGTTCTCCAAACATTCCCCAGGCAGTTGCTCTCTCCTCTTGAGCATGATGTAAGGCTTTGTTCCTCGACTGAATTCCAGAAGGCAACGAACCAGAACCAGCCCAAAGAGGTTGAGGAAAATAAACTATTTTGACCATTTCCTATATTTAGGAAAAATGCTCACATTACTCAAGCACCCCTATTTTGTGTGGAAGCTTCTTTGGGGGACACAGTGATGATTTTGTATTGGTGGACACAGAGAAGGGGAAGGACCATGGGCAGGAAGGCAGAACTTGGAGCAAGAATAAAGGAAGACAGAAACAGAAGGAAGGCAGCTTCACTTAGTTGGGATGAACTGCTGGATTTCAGTCACTTCACGGTCACGGTCACGATCACGGTCCTCCCGCTGTTCATCGATTTGCTTGAGTGGGCACCAGTATTGTCTCACAACAAATTGTGAGACTTGTTGTTACTGTTTTTTGCATATTGAATAGGTCACGGGGAGCTTGCCAGGCTTTGCCGTGCGGGCGAGATACTCTCGTTAGCTTACTGGGCTCTCTGAGAGGGGCAGAGGAATTGAACCTGGGTCGGCAGCATGAAAGGCAAATGCCCTACCCACTGTGCTATGTAATATGCTCATTTATTTGTGAAATTAATTGATATGCACACATTCATCTTTTATGCATAATCCCCACCATTCCGGTTGGTGCATTTGTGTCCCAGGTGTGTCCACGCGTGACTTTATGTGTGATGCATTTATTTAGCTTTGTGTAGTTGTGTCCTCTATGATCAGGCTGTTTTTGCTTCCTGTGCTTTTGTAGTTATCATCACTCTTTAGAAAGGCAGATTCATTATTTTAGCAAATATGCCTTTTCTTTGTGGGGGTGGCAGTGGAGGCTCCCAAATTGTGCTCTGGGGATGCAGGGGTCCCCCCCTAATGATTACCAGTAAACTGGGCTCAGCTCAGGGCTTGAGGGTGCTGAGTTGTATGTGCCCTGAGGTGTGGGGGAACCCTGAACCACTCTGACAGAGCTGGAGGTACGTGGGACTCCTCAACAGACCTGGGAGTTCCTAGGCCGCCGCCCCGACAGATCTGGGGTCTCTAGTGCAGGCCCTAGAGATGCCCAAAGACATATGGTGCCAAGAGCTGGGCTGCTGGACTATCTTCCAGCCCAAATACACTTTATTTTTCTTTAAAATTTTATTAAAGCATTATGAATTACAAACTTATTCATGGTTGACTTTTAGATGTACAGCATTCCATCACCAATCCTACCACCAGTGTCAACTTCCTGCCACCAGTGTCCCAAGATTCCCTTTCCTACACCCCCTGCCCTCCTTCAGCTGCTTTTAAATTAGGTAGTTAAGGTTTGGGTCTCACGATTTCGCTGGCATTGACTGTGGTTTAGATATTTAGCTCTATTGTTCTTTAACATCACCGATGTCCCTGGGTTTCCTAGATCCTTACCCTGGTTGCTTCTCATCTCTCTTCTCTCCCCTTCCCCTTCACTCTATTTCTTTCCTTCTCTTCCCTATACTGGGGCCAAGGGTGATCTAGTGCTCCCTCCCTGTAGCGCCCCTCCCCCCCAACCATCCTGTTTCCTTATCCAGTTACTCTAAATACCACATATAAGTAACATCATCCTGTGTTTGTCCTTCTCTTATTTCATTTAACGTGCTATCTTTCAGTTCCCTCCATGTTGCATTAAATTGCAAATATACTTTTAAAAATCTCCACAGAGCTGGAGCATTGTGACGGCATAGCTCGCTACCTCATTCTTCTCAGGAATCACTTGCCCCCACTTGTGCTCTTGTGGCTTCTTAGAAGTGATACGCAGAGACATCTGCTGAGTGATGCCCTATTCCAGTTTCTGAGGCACAGTGCCTCTTTCCAAGACCACACTTGCTCAGACTCTGCCTTGAATCACAGTGCTTTGTTTTTCTTTCCAGTTTGGATGGTGACAGTG